TGACTCGATAACACATATAAACACATAAAAATAAGCACAAAAACATAACAAACAATTTCACGTAGCCCAAGATCATGTGAGAGGAGTACGTTGGTCAAATAGTGTAAAATAGTTATTTTTCTTATCTCTCACATCCACGTCAGCTGACCATATAGCTAGTAATAACTATTACCATTGGGGATGCCCTTAGCTACATTAATGGCCACATAAATGCTCTACTCTTCTGAAGTGGCGCATGTGTATTTTCTCAACCTTTTCTTATTCTGTCTCATCATCTTCTTCACATTAGACTTAGAATTTAACTGCCCATCAGACTCAGACACATACAAACAATATTTCTTGGAATCACCTTCTGAATGCTTCTGCATTGGTTTGAAGTTGTGAAAATCAGGTGCCCTTGAGGAAACCAGACAACCAAGTGGAAAGTGCCCGAAGCTTTTGGATGGAGAGCAAAACATGGCCTCGATCGACAGGCTCAGCAGCTTGCCGGACGTTGTCATTGCCACATTCTCTCTTTTCTCCCGACAAAGCACTCAGTGGCGACCAGCGTTCTAGGAAAAAGATGGAGGGTTCTATGGGCCCATGTACCCTGTTTGCATTTCGAAGGATTCGATTTCGAGAAAGAAGGAACACAAGCCTCGAACAATTTCAGGAAAGAAAAAACACAAGCCTGGGACATCATCCACAGGGTTATTTTGCGGCATAAGGCAAAAAGAATTGATACTTTAACACTCTACATCGACTGCAACGAGTATCAACTGGAGACATTGATTACAACCGTCATCGACCATAGTATCCAGAATATTTATCTTGAACTTGACTTAGAAATATTCCCTCGATACCTCTTCAACTGCAAAACCATTGCCGACTTGAAGCTTGATAACTGTTGCGCTTCACTCTCTGCTCTGAACAATGTCTCTCTGCCCAGCCTCAAGAAGTTATATGTTTATAATCTTATATGCGAGAAAGATGATGCACTTCCTTACTTTCTTTCCGGCTGTCCGTTGCTTGAGGAGTTGAATATGAGATTCATCTTTGTGGAAGAAAATATGTATGTGAGCTGCATAAATATATCGTCACCCACGATAAAGATGCTTCAGCTCTATTTTGACTATATCAATGGTATCCTTGAATATAGGATGATAATAAATTCCCCGGCCTTTAGGTATCTCAAAGTTGATGGCTATGACTTGGAGTGTATAACAATTCCTATAACCATGATCTCCTTAGTTCAGGCGGATATTCACTTAGAAAATTATACGTTCTTACATCTCAAAACGAATTACAATTCCACGGTGGCGAAGTTTCTTCATTCTATGTGTTATGTAAAGTGCCTAAAGATATCAGGTTGAGAATTTGAGGAGGTATGTTTTGATTCTTCAATCTTTTAGGCCTCTTGTCAATTAGTTTCGGATTTGTTTTTATATATATGCGTAATGTGGTTTTATCTTTTCAGTTTATTCACAGAGGAGTTGCTTGTTCGACTGTAAAGTTGGATAATTTAACCAAACTTGAACTCCAATTGGAATTCAAATGGAGTTTTCTTGTAAAGTTCCTTAATGTTGCTGATAATCTTGAAGTCCTTATCGTAAGTGGAGTTGATGCAATTAAATTTGTCTTTATCCATTTCTTGTTTTTCTTACAGCAATATCTCCTTTTGTTTTACTCATTTTGTTATGCTCCTTTTATTTAGTATCAGCAGGTTAATTTTAAAAAGGGATATTTGTGTTCGGAGCCTGAACAAGTGCCTAAATGCCTATTCTCATGTCTAAGAACTTTAGAGCAATCTTGGATACAAATTCAATCCAAAAAAATTCAATCATTTTTAACTCAACCACTTTTTTTAACTCAACTTTAACTCAACCCACTATCATCAATATTATCAATATAATTAAATAATATCAATCAATCATTCTTACACACAACATCAATCTTAATTTATTATTCATCTACTCACATAATTTTAACTAACCATCACATCACATCTTCTCTCTCATACTTTTACATTAATTTAATTTTAATCATTTTAATTTAAATATTTTTTTAATATACCACTAACAATTAACCATACCAACTTTTTCAAATTTAACCAAACCAAACCAAAAATCCAATCAAAACAAAACAAATTTATATCCAAGCATGCTCTTAACAATTAAGCCGATGTGGTTCAATGAGCATGAATTTGACATGGTAAGATATCTTTTGAGGAATTCTCGAGTATTGGAGAGGATGGAACTATTTACCTCACCTTATGGATGCATTGATCTGGAAACGAAATTCGAAGCGCTTAAAAGAATTTTATTATTTGAGAGAGGATCCAACGCATGTCAGCTTGGCTTCCATTAAGACGGTTGAATGATTGGACTGAGGTCTTATTCAACTGTTGAATGTTACTCGAATTTCATTGTTTGATTTTGTTGAATGAATGGACTGAGATTTTATCATGTAGTTAGTACTGATGTCTGCATTGGACAACGACATATTCCTCATATTCTGTCGTAACTATTTCAACTTGCTTATGTTTTAGTGCAATTGTGAGACTATGAAAATACCACGTGTCCCAATGTTATTCATTGTTGATCAAGAAACAAGAAACACCATTTGTCTTTCCTTAAAATCTCAGATTCCCACGCCTTGCCCTTTTTGTTTTGTTTTTTTTGTTGTTCTTGGTGATTTTTAATTTGTACGGTGGGGATTGGGGAGTAGTATGCATATATCTTGATTTTATAGCTATGCCCATGTATATTATAATTTTTAGAAATATAAATATTTATTTAATACAAATTATTAATATATTTAAATAGTAATACTAATAGTTTTTGTGAATATTATTAAATTTTTCTAGTATTGCGTGTGTGTATGTATAATAAAAATTGAAGTGTTTTTAAATATTAATTCAAAATTCATGAATTTAGTTATTATTTAAATAAATTTATATAATCAAATTTATAATATGACTTACAAATTATTATAATATATGAAGGATAAGTTATTGTGTGATTTTACATAATAATAATATAATTGTCCAAAAAATTTATAAATTAAGAACAAATATTATCACTCTTTTTTTTTTTTTTTCTTTTAAAGCTTTTATTGATATTAGAGATAGTTGAGTATTGTACTCTACTACTTTTATATCATTTCCCCGTTTTTCTGTTTCACGAGTCAAATAGATTTGCACCCAGGTCATGACCGCAGTTGGTAGTAACATGAGACTTATAGAATTTCGAATAGTTTTGAAAATCTAAACAAAAAATAATCGTTGACTATTTGACTTTTTCGAACCAAATCGAACCAAACTGAATTGAAAAAATTATTGGTACGGTTCTGGAGATTTCACAAATATCTGTACCGAGAATTTTACCGAAATGTCTCATACCGTATCGAACCGAAGAACCGAATTCTAAAAATAGATGTGTGTTATTAATTGATTTTATGTCAACTTTGATCCTATAATATTTGAGAAATTTTTAAAATGCAAATAAAAATAGAGTAATAACAATTATGCTTCACTTAAATTTTATGTTTAGTCTATAGTTGAATTTTTCCTATTTTTTTAAAAAAAATATATACATGTATTTAAAATTGAATGAAAGGTTAAGGAAATATACTTAAAAAAAATATTAAAACTTTACTTCAATTTGTCGATACTTAGTCTTATTCTATCTTATAACTAACATGGTATGAAAGGTAAAAAAATTTGCTTTAATAAAAAACTATATTATATTTTGACTGAATATTAAGTTTTCAATGTTAGTTGCACAAATTTAATCTTAACTAAAATTAAGAGGTACTTCTAAAGTTGATTTATTAAAATATTTAGTATGACGAAGTATTGATTATTGTTGGATTTAAAGAAAAAATAAAAAAAAAATAATATATAACTAGGGGTTATTCAAAAATAAAATAAAATAAAATAAAAATCTCTGAATATCCGAACCGAACCAAATCAAACTGTTCCGATAGTTCCAAAAACCAAACCGATACCGAACTGATTTTTAGTACGGTTCCAAAAATCGAATTTTAGTGATCTCCAGATTTTGGTACGTTTCTGGATATTTATCAATCTCCGAACCGTACCGACCCATGCTCAACCCTACTTGGTAGATGTTGGAGAGGTAAAGCCTTGCTAAAGCCAGAGGTCAGGTGTTCGATCTTGCCTGTCGTGAGAGTTGGCGATGGGACTCTCCAACTCTTCTGGGTGGATAAGCACCTTTCTGAGTGTGGAGCATGTATCCAGTTTAGGTCATGGACCGATTAGGCCTGTACCCTCTCGGGGGCTAGGCGAATGGCTTCGGAGTGGGTGGTGAGACCCAGATGAATGTGGGGATACCACTCACTCGAAAAAAAAAAAGAAAAAAAAAATATGAGTCAAATAGAATCATACAACTTTTTTTTTTTCAAAAAAAATAAAAAAATAGAAATAAATTTTATATTTGTCGATCCATTTAACTAGTACAGAGCCCGTGCGATGCACGGGATGTACAATTTTAAGGTCATTTATCGAGTTTTATAATTATATAAATGAATTATAAAAAAATGTACTGGATATATATAGTACGTGACCTGTAATAGGCCAAAATGTGAACACGGGTGATGCACGGGGTGCACAATTTTAATGTCATTTATTAGTACAGAGCTCGTGCGATGCACGAGGTGCACAAATTTTATAGTATGTGTAATAAAAATACATACCGTATGCACGGGACAGAAGCACTAAATGAGTCATTTCCACAGAGCTTGTCCGTTAAGTAGCTCCTGAACAGAGCTTGTCCGTTAAGTAGCTCCTGAACAGAAGCACTAAATGAGTCATTTCCACAGAGCTTGTCCGTTAAGTAGCTCCTGAACACGAGTGCACAATTTGTAGTACGTACCATAAAATCAAAACAGATTTTTCATACAATTAGATAATAAATTAGATAATAAATAAAGCCTTTTTATTATAGTAAAGATTTTACGAACATTGTTTTTTTTTTACTTATCCTATATTACGAGATTTATTTTGTTAAACCGATTTATGGAATATAATACAAATACAATTAGAGGATTGAACAAAATCAGAACAAATTTTCACACAATTAGATAATAAAAAGGAACTGGATAAGGAAAAGAAGGAAATAGATAAGAAAAAGAAGGAATTAGATAAAAAAAATTGAATCTGACTTTTGTTAAAATATAGATAGACTTTACGTACAAATTTTGACTTCACTGATTTTATGGAATTTGTTTTGACAAAATCGATATTAATATGGAATAAGACAAATAAATAAAGTCTTTTTATTTTAGTAAAGATTTTACGTCTTTTTTTTTTACTTGTTAGATGTTATGGGATTTTTTTTCTTAAACTGATTTTATGGGATATAAGATAAATAAATAAAATAATTAAATAAAATTCTGGGTAGAAATAGCAATGCATCAATTACATTGACTTTTCAACCTACTAAATTTGGTAAATAGAATACCTTATATAATAAATATAGATATACAAATAAATAACATGCCAAAATTTTAAAGAATAATTAATGTATTTAAATTTATTATCTAGCCATCAGTAATATTATTTAATGATGTGATCATTATCTCTTAAATGATAAATAAAATATTAATTTAAAAAAAATATATTGTTTTTATATACTCAATTAAAAATAAAAAAATACTATCGTCAAATATGAATTATAATATATATATATAGGTAAGGGATCATATGAGAATGATTTCTAGTGAAAGAAATAACAATGAATGTGTACCATTGGATCAATGATATCCATGGACATGATGAAGTCAAACATTAATAACTCTAGTCAAAACATAATGGCATAGTTGTAATTATATATTTATTTTATGGTCAAATAGACACCTCAAAGGGCAATTCTGGAATTTCAATTTCACCATAATTAAGTGGGCTCCACACTAATTAACCCTTCCCCCTCTTTCACACACAATACACGACACATCTGTTTTTTTTTCACACACGCACACACACAGAGAGACGGCGGCACCACAACACACAGCCACCGCCCGCCGCCTCCGACCGCCGCCTCCGACCGTCATCTCCGACAGTCGCCTCCGACCGTCATCTCCGATCGCCGCCTCCAACCACACCCAGTGTCGCCCCGCCATTAGAATCGCCAGATCCTCACAGCACCACCATCATCCGCCACTTCGATCTCAACAACCATATCCGGATGGCGAGCTTGCCGGCGACCATGAAGACAACAGCCGCACTCCGCTGCAATAGGCGTTCATCGGTGGCCGTCGTCATTGTCGGTAGCATCTCCTTTTCCAGCGGCGGGTGATTGTGTGGTGGCCGACAGAAGGCGACGGCGGCGGTGGCGAACGAACGGCGACCGAC